GGGCCCGCCGGGACGACAGGGAGTTCCTTCCCCCCCCTCTCCTCGCAGGCGTCCTCAAGTTCGCCCGGCTGATCAAGTCGTACGAGTCGCAGGACCCGGAGATCGCCAGCATGTCGGGCAAGCTCAAGGCCATGTTCCTGCCGCCCATGACGCTGCCGCCGCACGGGGCCGGGGCGGCGGAGTCGCTGCCTCCTGAGCGCTCGGAGCTCTCCCGGTGCACCCGCACACCTCCTCCCAAGGTGCAGGTCTGGGCAGCCTTGGGTATGGAGTGCTTGAACAAGGGAGACAGTGTCCTGAAAGGAGCCGGGATGCTTTGTGCCCGCGCGTGTGTCGGCTCGTGAATAAAGGATGTGTTGGCAACGCCCGTGTACTGTGACTGACCGTGAGCGCCGCGGTGCTCTCGGCACAGGTGCCGCTCCCGGCGCAGGGGCAGGTACAGCAGCGCCTGGCTCAGGGCACCTGTGGTGCTGCTTTGGAAGGCCCAGTATGTACCATGTGCTGCAAAAAGTTCGTGAAGCCCTGGGACTTGGTATCAGGGAGACTTCTTAGGAAAAATAGGAGATGCTAAGCCGCCTTAAGAGAAGCAAGCTTTACACATGTGCTGTTTGAAACATACTAGGTAATGTGCCCCTAAACACAATCAAGTGCAATAAATGCTGCTGAGCTCCCTGCCCCAGCAGGATCAGTGCTAACACGGCTGGTGGCTGCTTTGTTTTCCAGCCCGAGTGAAAAAGGCAGCAGAGAGATACAGCAGGGAGTGGCACAGTGTAGGAGGGCTGGGCTTGCCCCATTTGGCTGCAGCCTCTAACTGAGTAACATAACATAAAATTGTATCTCGGATTTTTTGGGACTGCAGAGGGACCAGGCTAGCGGAGCAGTCTTGCTCTAGTGCAACGGTTCTTTGTTTCTGATGCGATTCAAACGAGGGAATGCCAGATGTGTCTGCTTGTAGCCTCCTGCCCTGTGTGCCTGGTGCCGTTGGAAGCATTGAGGACTTTGGGGAGGGTGACAGGGTTGGGGGTGAAAGAGCCTCACCTGGGAGAGCAGGGAGCTGCGAGGCAGTGCGAGAGAGCTGCTTCTGTGCCTTTTGGTTACAAACCAGGCAGGAATGTAGCCACCGAGGGCGTGACCTCAGTGGATAGGAGGCAGGAAGAGTAGTTGGTCCCTTCCGACTCCATCTACCTCTCCCAGCTTGGCCTTGGCCTTCCCCCACCCCTCTGATTATTCATTAACTACAGTCCAGGAAGTGCTTTGCAAATGGTGAAAATTAAGCCCTCTGCTTGAGGCCGAGGTTTGCCTAACCCGGAGCTACCTTCTTCTTAGTCCCCCTAGGAACAGGCGGAGTTCAGGCCTTTGCCTGTGTGGATCAGACACGGGTGAGTCACGGGAGGTGCTGCAGCCTTGCCAGCACTATCAGCTGCTCCTCCAGAGCTCTGGTGCTCACTGCCATCAGCATCCAGCCCTGTCAGGTGGGTGAGTCCACCACTCCTCTGTCAAGGTCTTCGCTCTCTCTGCCAAATTCATCTCAAGATACTGTCTTGATAATTCCAATATTGCTTTATTTTCTTCAGTGCGACCCCCTTGGTTAAGGGCTGTGATGCTTCCTCCACCAACTCCTGTCAGGTCCTCCATCAGTGGGGATCTGAGAGACAAGACCCTGATGCTGTCACGTGGGTGAGTGCTGTGAATGCTAGTTAGGGCAAGAAAACAAGAGTTGGCGAGAAAAATAAAAATAGTGGCAGTAGGAATTTGACATAAAAGGGAAAAACCCCCACCTTTTAACAGGAGCTGCAGGGTAGCCAGAGGCTTGGAGCTCCTGGTGTTTTAGATTCTTATTGCCCCTCCTTACTTTGATAAAGAGCAAGCAGGGTTTGCGATGCCCAGTCCACTGCAGTTCTGACAGCGCTGCAGCATCTCTCAGTGTACAGCACAGAGACAAGTCAGCTGTCTGGCCTTTTACATCGTTGTTATTTCTTGGTTTGCTACACTC